TAAAGATCTATCTATCTATCTATCTATTATTATTATTAATATTAATAATAATATTAATACTTCTTAAATATTATTTTTGTATTTTTTACAAATATTTTCGTCCATCCTTTTCTGAAAATTTAATTTAAATTTTTAGGAAATGTTCGTCACAAAAATTGACTGAATATTTAAATTACATTTTCACTCAACTTTCGGTATAAATTTTTAATAAATATTTAATTTAAATTTTTAGTCAACTTTTACGCCAAACATTTCACGAAACTTTAATTTAAATCTTCACTCAATTTTCGCGTGGAAAATTTCTGGAAAATTTAATTTAAATCTTCCGTCCAGTTTTACGCCAAACATTTACTCATTTTGGACATTTAAATCTTTATACAATTTTCTCTAAACTTTGCAATGAAAGTTTCCGAAGTTTGCAAATAAATCTTTAGGAAATTTTCAGGAAATTTTCGGTGCTGTGGGGGTATGTATATATAATCTAATAATAATAAGAAAATTCAAGTACTATGAAAATGTGAATGAATGAAGGAATGAATACAAAGATTATTATTCTATAATTTTTGAGTATGAATTTTTAATTCAAATTAGTGATAAATAATGTTTTTTCATATACGAGGCAAAATTCCTGAAATGTCCGAACAAAAAATTAAAAGTTCTCGAATTTAATCCATACTTTTCTAAAATGTTGTTATTGTTGGTGAAAGTCTAAAAATCAATTATTATTGAATTTAATAAAATAGTTTTTGAATTACAACGTTCTTAATTTTTGACTTTTGAAAAAAAAATTTTTTTTCAATGTACAATATTTATAAGTAGAATGCATAAAAGTTAACATATATATAATGATTTTTAAAGCTTTTTTGACGAGCTACACGCTGTTAATAAAAATTTTTTTTTTTAAATAACATTTGACCTTGAAATTCAAGGTCAAAATGTTAATTTACGTTTATCTCAAAATCGGATTTTTGAAAATTATTTTTAACTATCTCAATGGAAAGCTTGACTAATTTCCTACAAAACATGTAATTTTCAGAGTGGGATCTTTTAAAGTTTTTGAGATATTAATTAATTAATTAATTAATGTTTATAAGAAATGAAATATTTTACAAACGAATAAAGTTACCGTAATTCTGAAGTTAGTAATTGAAATTTAAAGTAATTCCGCATCCAACGAGCCCTATATGAAGTATTTTGGATAAGTAGATTGTTAATAAACAATTAGTTAACATTGCAATTGTTTATAACCAATCTACTTATCTAAAATACTTCATATAGGGCTCGTTGGATGCGGAATTAGCTTAACTTTCAATTGGTTAGTTTAGATTTATGATAACTTTATTTGTTTGTAAGATATTTCATTTTTTATTGTTATTTAACTAAAATTGAACAAAAATACTTCATATAGGGCTTTTGGATGCTTGTTGTTAGTAAAAAATAAAATATTTTACAAACAAATAAAGTTATGGTAATTCTGAACTTACCAATTGAAAGTTAAGGTAATTCCACATCCAACGAGCCCTATATGAAGTATTTTGTATAAGTAGATTGTTAATAAACAATTGCAATGTTAACTAATTGTTTATTAACAATCTACTTATCCAAAATACTTCATATAGGGCTCGTTGGATGCGGAATTACGTTAACTTTCAAATACTAACTTCAGAATTACGGTAACTTTATTCGTTTGTAAAATATTTCATTTCTTATAAACATTAATTAATTAATTAATTAATATCTCAAAAACTTTAAAAGATCCCACTCTGAAAATTACATGTTTTGTAGGAAATTAGTCAAGCTTTCCATTGAGATAGTTAAAAATAATTTTAAAAAATCCGATTTTGAGATAAACGTAAATTAACATTTTGACCTTGAATTTCAAGGTCAAATGTTATTTAAAAAAAAAAATTTTTATTAACAGCGTGTAGCTCGTCAAAAAAGCTTTAAAAATCATTATATATATGTTAACTTTTATGCATTCTACTTATAAATATTGTACATTGAAAAAAAATTTTTTTTTCAAAAGTCAAAAATAAAAAACGTTGTAATTCAAAAACTATTTTATTAAATTCAATAATAATTGATTTTTAGACTTTTACCAACAATAACAACATTTTAGAAAAGTATGGATTAAATTCGAGAACTTTTAATTTTTTGTTCGGACATTTCAGGAATTTTGCCTCATACGTGTAAATTGATCATTGTACAAAGACTTGTAGTAATCGGATTCATCGGGACAGTTTGGGTTAAAGACGAAGTAGAACTTTGTTGAGTTCGGAAATTGTCGGGAAAGTCCGACACTTTTCATATAAGATTTTACGAATAGTAAAATAAGTATGTTAATGTATTTCTGATTGCTAAATTATATATTTATTTTTAAAACTTCTACATTTTAAATAACACTTTTTCGTACTCAGGGATGCGATTCTGTAACTTCACTTTCCCTTCCCTTCTCTTTTACTTTATTCACTACACAGTGATGAAATTAAACGAATATCAAGTAAAGTGAAGTGAAGTTACAGAATCGCACCCCTTTCATTATCCTTGCATAATTCTAATTTTTCATAATAAATTTATTAATTTTTCATTCTTCAAATAATATTTATTCTTATATTTAATAAATAGTTTGATAAGAATTTTAACAGTAATTATGAAAAGTACACTTTTTCCCTAAATTAAAACACTATATTTTAAACTTTCATATGCATTTATCAATAAACGAAAATAAATTTCTTTCTGTGTTGCAGTAAAAGAATAAAATATATATATATATATATATATATATATATATATATATATATATATATATATATATATATATATGTGTGTGTGTATAGTATATAATTTAAAAAAATAAATTAAAAATATTAAATTTTTAAATTTTGAAACTTTTTAAAACAACTAATTTAAAAAAAAATTGTAATTACTTGAACTATTATGAACGAGGTTGAATTTATCTATAAAAATTATATATTACAATGTGAAAAAAGTTGACAATTTTTAAGTTTCTCTTAATAAATTTATTATTTATTCTAAGAATTCATATGATCGATATTTTTAAAGTAAAATTATGTTTCTGAAATTTGATTCTGATTAATTTTATGGTTCACTACAATTACAGTTGTTCCTACTACCTTAACAAAGTTAATTTTTCTACCTACCTTGTAGTTGTATTTTAACTACATATTTACGTAAAATTAACTATTACTTTTTAACTTCTTAATTGTTTTTAAACGTGTTTTGTAAATTAAAAATACTAATGTTATCAAAAAATAAAGTTTTTGGACTTTTTAAATCTATAAATGTAAAATTTTACACGAAAAAAAAGTTCTCGAAACTTTCGTGAACTAGTCATTTACTTTTGGACCCAAGTAGCACGGAATATTGGTTGCATGTCACGGTGATATCAAGTGGAAATATTCCTGTGACATTCAGGCGATATCATAATGTCCGCTTCATGGGGCCATTCCACGGTGATATTCCTGTGACATTCGTGTGATATTCGTATGATACTGAGGGAATATTCCTGTGAAATTCTTGTAATATTGAGGGGATATCCCTGTGATGTTGATCGGAATATTCCTGTGATATTGAGGGAATATCCCTGTGATATTTAAGGAATATTCCTGTTATTTAATAAACTCTAAAATGTTGTTTGTTTTGATTGTTTTAAATATTTAAATAAAAAGTTAAATAAATTGAATAAAAACAGAAAATTTTTTTTTAGAATTTTTTAAATTATCTCATCAATATCACTGGAATATTCCCTCAATATCAAAGAAATATTCCCTCAACAACCTAGGAATAATTTGCTCAATATGACAGGGATATCTCCTCAATATTACATGAATTTCACGAGAATATTCCCTCAGTATCATACGAATGTCACAGGAATATCAACGTGGAATGTCCCCATAAAGCGGACATTATTATATCGCCTAAATGTCACAGGAATATTCCCACTTGATATTACCGTGACATTCAACCAATATTCCGTGCTACTTGGGGATACGCTATAAAATGGTTTAGAATATAGATTTTTTTATATTTTATCGATTTTTATAATTGAATATTTGATAACCGTTTTCTTGGTAAGAGAAAAGTCGATCCATTAAGTCGAAAATGGTGATACATATTGTTTGGTTTTAAAGTGATTTTAGTGGAAATTCGAAGTGCGCAAGTGCGAATTTGCGTTCACAAGATCCATGGAGTAGTACAAGGAGATCGAACGACGTACATTGAAATTGGACAAAATTTTGGTTCCCGCTTAGCTTCATAAAAATATGGAACGGAACACAAGCGCTCTGGTGGAAAGTATGTAAACAGTGAGAAAAATTGGAAGTACGTTGAACATAACCCAAAAATACATTGCTTCTTATTTTTAAAACTTTTACAATGGCTGACTGTCCAGCTGAGTTTGACACAATCAGTGGCGCTAGTGTTCCATTCCGTATTTTGTCGAGATTTAGCGGGTACCGAAAAGTGGTCCACTTTTAAAGCAGATCGTAAATAGAGCTTAAAATGATAATAAATAAGTTAAAACATTATTATGTTTTATTTAATTTATTAATTCAAAATAAATTTATTGTATGTATGTTTAGGTAAAATATATTCGTTTAAAGTTAATTTTTCCTAAAATAAATTTTTTAAGTATATGATATACATTTTAATCTGCAAGCACTTAAATACGTTAAAATTTATGAATGTCGAAATAAATAAGATATAAATAATGCGAGTGAGATGGCAGTTAAAGATGTAGCAGCTTGATTGATTATGAATACGTGCCAAAAAATTCAACTACCATTTGATAGTTGTTTAGAAAGTAGTTAAATTAACAATTTTTTAGTTAGTCTAATCATGTTTACGTAGTTAATGTGACTATTTTTAAAAAGGTTAATTTAAAATATCAATTTGGGTATTCAGAAAATAGAAGTATTCAGAACCAAGAATAAAATTTAGCGTGTACAATTAAATTTTGTATATTATTGAATAATTTTCAGATGATGTCCTTGAGTGGAGATGTTATGCCCCAGTATCGTCAAGAGGCTCCAAAAACACCTCCTCATATCCTTTTACATTACTGTGCTTTTAAAGCGATCTGGGACTGGATTATTTTATGCCTAACTTTCTACACAGCCATTATGGTCCCTTATAATGTCGCATTTAAGAATAAAACTAGTGAAGATGTCTTTCTCTTGGTGGTGGATACTATAGTTGATGTGATATTCTTCATCGATATCGTGCTCAATTTTCATACTACTTTTGTTGGTGCTGGCGGTGAAGTTGTTTCCGACCCGAAGGTACTTTTATTTCTATACTTTACTTTAATAGATATAGTTAAACGTATAAAATTATTTCATAAAAAAAGTAAATAAAGCCGCCGGAATGTAAAACAACATATAAAAATTTGTATAGTCTTTTGAGTTGGTCCTTCATAACTTAAAAATGTTTTTAAAAAAAAATTAATTTCTATTTTACCTTATTACTACCAATAAAATAGTAATAATTACATTTTTTAATAATATGAAACATAAGTTGAACATGAGATATTGTAATGACAGACTATCTTTTAAACTATCATTTTTCTACAGATATGTGGTTGATATATTCACTTGCATATCAATGGAAAAAATCGATGAGATGATTAATATTTATAACAGTTATGACGAAAGATTGCAATTCACTTATGAAATTCAAAACAAAAATAGGTACTATTAGTTTCTTAGATTCTAATTGCGGAGCTGGATCGAATAACGTCCGTTACGAGCGAAGCGTCGGTTCCTCGATCCAGCTCTTCAATTATGACTCTAATCACCCTATTAATTAAAAAATTGCTATAAATTATAATCTAACTGATAAAGCAATAAAACTCTCTGACAAAAAAATTCCATTCCAAAAACATTGAATTGGTCAAAGAAATCTTACTAAAAAACAATTAATCACTGAAATTTATAAATAAAAATATAATTAAACGTATACATTCTATTTAGTCCAATTTTCAATGTCATAATAAAAAAAAGAATAATAACCCAGATAGCACGGAAACTTGCAGCAAGCTTGCGGAAAGCTTACCGTGCAAGCTTGCTGCAAGCTTGTCTGAGCTAGCGAAATGTCCCACCCAGGGCAAGGTTGCCGTGAAAGCTAGCTATAAGCTTTCCAGGAAAGGTTGCTGCAATCTTGCCATGAAAAATTGATACAAGATTGCTGCAAGCATACCAAGAATGATTGCGGCAAGCTTGCCGTAAAAGATTGCTGTAAGCTTGCTACGTAAGGTTGCAGGAGAATTTCAACAAGCTTCTGGAAAGGTTGCTGCAATTTTTAAAAAATACATTTTAAATTTAAAAAAAATTTACTTGTTTTCTAAATTTGAAAATCCTTGTGACGTTTATTATTATTAATTATGTCCTGTTTATTTTCATTTGGAAACTTAACGAGAAAATTTTCGAAACAAATTTGAGGGGACTGGGAATTGAACCCGGGTTCGACAGACTTCGCAGCAGAAAGTCTCTCTCTCTCTACTTATAAAAGTAAATAAAATATCCTGGAAAATTTGAATATAGAATTGAATATATATTTAGTTGCAAAAATTGTAGTTATATTTCTATTTTCTTTGCTTTTTTCGATGCCTGCCCCGACATTTGCTGCACGAACGAAGCGAGAAAAAAGGCTTGACTAAAAGACAGATACAGAGAAAAAGTCAGAGCTTCCAGAGTGTCCGTTAGAGGCATTGAAGCGAGGAGCAAAAGTAAAAGATGTCCGGCTGTCAAATAGAATACGCAATTGAAATATTTTTAATTAGTGAATTATTGTGCGTACTTTCGAACGTATGCAAAGAAAAGTGGTATACATTACACGGGCTGAACAGTCGAAAGCAATAAATTGCGCGATGATACCATCGGGCATCATTTCGCGCAGTGCCGGAATTAGAATTTTCTACCCTTATAATGTAATATACTATTTTATTTTACGTTCCGAACCTTTTTGAAAAAACTTCTTCATATCTAAAAAATTATAGCATTTTATTCATTCCTTGTAAAAACAATAACATGAATCACAATTTAGTTAAAAATGGCAAAGATAAAATAAAAAAAAATGAAAATACCAATACCGTTGATAAAATCAATTGCAAAAATTGACCCGCATCTTATGTTGGACAATCAAAAATTTACCTTGACATCTCTCATATTTTATTTTCTATTTTCTCATGCGGTCGTTCACCTTGTAAAAGCTGATTCTATGTGTTAAAGATGAATTTTGAAAATTAGAAAATTAGTTTTTATCAATATCAATCAAGGATTGATATTGTCAAAAACTCTAAAAGATCTTGGTACTTTAACATACGTTGCCCTTCGGACAAATTATATTGTATAGGTAGTGGATCTCCTCCTTACCTCACTATTATTCAGTGAGTTGGTTGAGATTCCATATTAATAGAACAATTGGTTTAGGAATATTTGAAAGAAAAGATTAAACAAATATTTAAATAATTGGATATAAATATATATATTGTGTAAAAACCCAAATAATACAATAGTACAATATTCTGTATTCAAATACAATTTTACGTGTGAATGTAATGTAAGTGTAAAGATGTTGTGTGTGTGTAATTTGTTAAGAGTCTCTTGACTCTTTCGTATATTTACCTTTGGAATTCCTCAGAATTGTATCTTCCAATATACTCGACGTAACTTAATTCAAACGTTAGATTAATTCTCCGATTTATTGTAGTTATTTAATATTCTCTTTATCTCAATCAATTATGACAAAACAATCTCAAAACACAATAGAAAACATAAAACTCAATTACTATTTATTTTCAATCTCAATTCAGAACTAAATGATCTCAAAAACTCATTTATATATTCTTTAATCAAACGCAAAATCAAATTCTCTTTATTCAAAAACTTCAATTATTAATTCTTTGTAAAACTCAATACTCTTAAATCAAATCACAACTCAATACTAAATACTCTTGTTGTCAAATAAAAATAAAATAAATAAAAAAAAATAAATACTAAAAAATAAATACTCTTTGAATAACCTCAACTCAAAAATAAATACTCTTTAAATAATCTCAACTCAAAAATCATAACTCAAATCAAAACTCAGAATAAAACTCCAAATGGAAACAACCTCGAAATTAGAGGCTTGTTTCAAAGAGTCTCTCAACTCAGAGACTCAAACTCAAACTCGAAACTATCAAAAACTCCAAGCTCCACACTCAACTCTCTCTCTCTTCTCTCCCAAACAACAACTAACTGACACTACTTGTGTCTACTGGTTTTATTGAGCTGATTTTTGGTGGGAAACAGTATGTTTTATTTCATAATTTTATTTTTGTCAATGTTCTTTATTGCAACCTTGCAATATTGTGGTAGTATTCCAGTTCATTTTGAATGGACGTACTTTGGATGCAGCAATCTTTATTGCATCACCCTTTGTTGCTTGTATTAAATTAAATCACTTAGTTTCTCAATTTTCTCATGAAAGTTAGATAGGTCTTCCTTAAAATTTAGGTTATTAATTGAAAGTTAATATTCAATATATAATTATTTGGACATCTCTAAGAGATTCCAAAGGCATTTCTTATAATGTTTATAAAGTGTTATTTGTTTTCTGTGTTGCATAATGTGTCCTCTTTTTCAAGTACTGTATTGATGAATTGTTATTAATATTAATAATTTATAAATAATACGTTACGAAATTCATACGTGACACTATGTACTTCGGAAAAATTTATATTTGCTTTACCAGTGTCAAATCAAAACTGTTATGACATACAGTTTTTTTCATTTTTCTCCGGTAATTAAATTTTTTACAATTTTCATATTAATTATTACAAAAATCTATATGTTACGTATTCTAATTGTAATTATTTAATAAATTTGTAGTTTCTGAAGAGGGCAGCTGCGCTGTCGAAACGTAAAAATTGTTTTATTTCAAACTTAACTCGGAGTGATCGTTCAACTCATGTTTCATATTTTAATTAAGACGACCGAGTGATAAATTCAATTATTTATTTAATAACATTTTTTGTTTAAAAATCAATTTTGAGGTTTAGCATGGACCAACTTACAAGGGCGTACAAATTTTATGTGTGGTTTTACTTACCGATGGCTCTAGTATATTATGCACCCTGTGAGCTATGTGAATTACGACTCGTGAAGTGAACAACGTGCTCGAAGTTAAAGACGCACTTACCGCACGTGGTGTATACGATTATTTTAGGGAATCCACATTTCGACATAATAAGTGAAGTAGGGCACTTTTTCGTTATGAATCTGTTATATAACCTCATTGTAACAGAATTCTAGAACATTGTTACAAAGGATTGTTCTATACATACAATATACTATACAATATACATTGTTCTATATTATCCAAACTTCACAGTTCTGTAACAATATTATGTAACATTTCTGTAACCAAAAATATTCCCCACTGAAAGTAAGTGGGAAATATTCATACAATAAGTAATATATTTTTATTGTAATAATATTTCCCACATACTTTAAGTGGGGAATATTCTGGGCGCCTATTTAAGAAGAAATTCTGAAATCTAGAATATAATTTTTTCAGTGTAGGATAGCGTAATGGTTAGCGTATTAGCCCGCGGAGCGTTAGATTAGGGGGTTCGATCCCAGAGAGCGTTAAATATTTTCGAAAATGTATGTAAGCGATTGCATTAAATAATAATATTTCCTTTTTCTATTACATCAAGTTTTAATATTTTTATTAAGAATAAAAAATATTTTGCATGTATTTGTTCTGTAATAATCTTGCAATAATAGTTATATACCATTTTATAGTTATTACAAAACAGTTCTAGAACTGTTACAAATACATTTGGGGGCGTCCATTAATTATGTGAGGTCGAAATGGGGAGGGGGGGTCTGGCCAAGTCTCACCAAATCTCACTGAGGGGAAGGGGGGGTCAATAAAAATCTCACGTCAACTTGTAATTTTCAGCAATACATATTTTATACTCATCCCTGTTGGAAAAGGTCAGTGTTGGGTAAGCTACTATTTCTAAAAACTCGTTACAGTTAAGTTTCTACCCAACACTAGAATAGATGGTAGTTCAGAGTTGCCAATCACCCTTACCAAACACAACTGCGCTTGTGCTGCGTTTTCTGTCTCATTGGTAAAAATAAGCACGCTTATATGAAATGCTTTAATGTAAAAAAATATCAGTAAAAGATTAAAAAAAATTTTAACTGTTAAATTGATTGTTTTTGATCACGTAACACAAAAACAATCAATTCAACAGTTAAAATTTGTTTTATTCTTTTATTGATAT